TATTTCAATCAAACTTTTAACAACATTTTAACTTTTTAAACATTTTAACAGGTCACGTTACATTGTAACATAGGACCCCTTATTTGATAGCAGCTTCACAAGTCTTCCATCCATTGAACTTGTGAGTTTTTGGACAGTTTCTGCTTGAATTTGTTTGCAAGATGTCAGAATAGCCTCCCAGAGCTGCTGTTTGGATGTAAACTGCCTCCCACCCTCATAGATCTTTTGCTTGAGGATGCTCCAAAGGTTCTCAATAGGATTGAGGTCAGGGGAGGATGGAGGCCACACCATGACTTTCTCTCCTTTTATCCCCATAACAGCCATTGATGCAGAGGTATTCTTTGCAGCATGAGATGGTGCATTGTCATGCATGAAGATGTTTTTATTACGGAAAGCATAGTTCTTCCTTCTGTACCAGGGAAGAAAGTGGTCAGTCATAAACTCCACATACTTTGCAGAGGTCATCTGTACACCTTCGAGGACCCTAAAGGGGCCGACCAGCTCTGTTCCAATGATTCCGGCCCAAAACATGACTCCATATTGCCCAATGTATTGTCATGATTGCCAAATTATTGCCCCATGTGATGTCATGATTGCCCAATTATTGCCCCATGTGTTGTCATGGTTGCCCAATTATTGCCCTATATTTTGTCATGATTGCCCAATTATTGTCCCATGTGTTGTCATTGTTGCCCAATTATTGCCCCATGTATTGTCATGTTTGCCCAATTATTGCCCCATGTGTTGTCATGGTTGCCCAATTATTGCCTCATGTATTGTCATGGTTGCCCAATTATTGCTCCATGTGTTGTCATGGTTGCCCAATTATTGCTCCATGTGTTGTCATGGTTGCCCAATTATTGCCTCATGTATTGTCATGGTTGCCCAATTATTGCCCAATGTATTGTCATTGTTGCCCAATTATTGCCCCATGTATTGTCATGATTGCCCAGTTATTGACCCATGTATTGTCATGGTTGCCCAATTAATGCCCCATGTTTTGTCATGATTTCCCAATTATTGCCCCATGTTTTGTCATGATTGCCCAATTATTGTCCCATGTGTTGTCATTGTTGCCCAATTATTGCCCCATGTATTGTCATGATTTCCCAATTATTGTCCCATGTATTGTCATGGTTGCCCAATTATTGCCCCATGTAATGTCATGATTGCCCAATTACTGCCCCATGTATTGTCATGATTGCCCAATTATTGCCCCATGTATTGTCATGGTTGCCCAATTATTGCCCCACGTAATGTCATGATTGCCCAATTATTGCCCCACGTAATGTCATGATTGCCCAATTATTGCCCTATGTATTGTCATGGTTGCCCAATTACTGCCCCATGTGTTGTCATGATTGCCCAATTATTGCCCCATGTGTTGTTATGATTGCTCAAATATTGCCCCATGTATTGTCATGATTGCTCAAATATTGCCCCATGTATTGTCATGATTGCCCAATTATTGCCCCATGTATTGTCATGGTTGCCCAGTTATTGCCCCATGTATTGTCATGATTGCCCAATTATTGCCCCATGTATTGTCATGGTTGCCCAATTATTGCCCCATGTTTTGTCATGATTGCCCAATTATTGCCCCATGTATTGTCATGGTTGCCCAATTATTGCCCCATGTATTGTCATGGTTGCCCAATTACTGCCCCATGTGTTGTCATGATTGCCCAATTATTGCCCCATGTATTGTCATGATTGCTCAAATATTGCCCCATGTATTGTCATGATTTCCCAATTATTGTCCCATGTATTGTCATGGTTGCCCAATTATTGCCCCATGTAATGTCATGATTGCCCAATTACTGCCCCATGTATTGTCATGGTTGCCCAATTACTGCCCCATGTGTTGTCATGATTGCCCAATTATTGCCCCATGTATTGTCATGATTGCTCAAATATTGCCCCATGTATTGTCATGATTTCCCAATTATTGTCCCATGTATTGTCATGGTTGCCCAATTATTGCCCCATGTAATGTCATGATTGCCCAATTACTGCCCCATGTATTGTCATGATTGCCCAATTATTGCCCCATGTATTGTCATGGTTGCCCAATTATTTCCCCATGTAATGTCATGATTGCCCAATTATTGCCCCACGTAATGTCATGATTGCCCAATTATTGCCCCATGTAATGTCATGATTGCCCAATTATTGCCCCATGTATTGTCATGGTTGCCCAATTACTGCCCCATGTGTTGTCATGATTGCCCAATTATTCCCCCATGTATTGTCATGATTGCTCAAATATTGCCCCATGTATTGTCATGATTGCCCAATTATTGCCCCATGTATTGTCATGGTTGCCCAGTTATTGCCCCATGTATTGTCATGATTGCCCAATTATTGCCCCATGTATTGTCATGGTTGCCCAATTATTGCCCCATGTATTGTCATGGTTGCCCAATTATTGCCCCATGTGTTGTTATGATTGATATCCACCTTTGTGGTGTACTTTCCAATTCTCAGTGAGTTGTCCATGAATGGAGGTATTGGCCCATGAGTTATCACGGTTATCATGTCATATAGGTAGGTGTGTTTTTTTATATTACTATAATTTATTCACGGCAGGGCTGTAACTGATCCCTCCCTGAAACACTTCAGTATTTTTGCCATGCCTGTGATACATTGTGGCAAGTCTATCTTCCTCTTAGAGCAGAGGTCTTCAAGCTTTTTAAACAAAGGGCCAGATTACTGTCCATTACGTTTTAGGGGGCTGGACTGTGGTTAGTGAGGGCAGAAAACACACTGGTATTGCTAGGAGTAACCAATGCCCCATGATTGGTTTTAGTGGGAGGATTAGTGCCCCATCATTGGTGTCAGTGGGAGGAATAGTGCCCCATCATTGGTGTCAGTGGGAGGAATAGTGCCCCATTGTTGTGATCTGTGGGAGGAATGGTGCCCCATCGTTGGTGTCAGTGGGGGAAATGGTGTCCCATCATTGGTGTCTGTGGGAGGAATGGTGCCCCATCGTTGGTGTCAGTGGGAGGAATGGTGCCCAATCCTTGGTATCTGTGGGAGGAATGGTGCCCCATCATTGGTATTTGTGGGAAGATTGGTGCCCCATTGTTGGTGTCTGTGGGAGGAATGGTTCCCCATCGTTGGTATCAGTGGGAGGAATAGTGCCCCATTGTTGGTATCTCTGGAAGGAATAGTCCCCCATCATTGGTGTCAGTGGGAGGAATAGTGCCCCATCATTGGTGTCAGTGGGAGGAATAGTGCCCCATCATTGGTATCTGTGGGAGGAATAGTGTCCCATCATTGGTATCTGTGGGAGGAATAGTGTCCTATCATTGGTATCTGTGGGAGGAATAGTGTCCTATCATTGGTATCAGTGGGAGGAATAGTGCCCCATCATTGGTGTCAGTGGGAGGAAAAGTGAACCATCATTGGTATCAGTGGGAGGAATAGTGCCCCATCATTGGTGTCTGTAGGAGGAATAGTGCCCAATCATTGGTAGCAGTGGGAGGAATAGTGCCCCATTATTGGCCACAGTGGGAGGAATAGTGCCCCATCATTGGTGTCAGTTGGAGGAATAGTGCCCCATCATTGGTATCAGTGGGAGGAATAGTGCCCCATCATTGGTGTCAGTGGGAGGAATAGAGCCCCATCATTGGTATCAGTGGGAGGAATAGTGCACCATCATTGGCAGCAGTGGGAGGAATAGTGTCCCATCATTGGTGTCAGTGGGAGGAATAGTGCCCCACCATTGATATTAGTGGGAGGAATCGTGCCCCATCATTGGTATCAGTGGGAAGAATAGTGCCCCATCATTGGTATCAGTAGGAGGAATGGTGCCCCATCATTGGCGTCAGTGGGAGGAATAGTGCCCCATCATTGGTGTCAGTGGGAGGAATGGTGCCCCATCGTTGGTATCGGTGGGTGGAATAGTGCCCCATCGTTGGTGTCAGTGGGAGGAATCGTGCCCCATCATTGGTGTCAGTGGGAGGAATCGTGCCCCCATCATTGGTGTCAGGGAGGAATCGTGCCCCATCATTGGTGTCTGTGGGAGGAATCGTGCCCCATCATTGGTGTCTGTGGGAGGAATCGTGCCCCATCATTGGTGTCTGTGGGAGGAATCGTGCCCCATCATTGGTGTCTGTGGGAGGAATGGTGCCCCATCGTTGGTGTCAGTGGGAGGAATCGTGCCCCATCATTGGTGTCAGTGGGAGGAATGGTGCCCCATCATTGGTGTCTGTGGGAGGAATGGTGCCCCATCATTGGTGTCTGTGGGAGGAATGGTGCCCTATCATTGGTGTCTGTGGGAGGAATGGTGCCCTATCATTGGTGTCTGTGGGAGGAATGGTGCCCCATTGTTGGTGTCAGTGGGAGGAATAGTTCCTTATCGTTGGTGTCAGTGGATAGAGTGGTGCCGCCCCAAGGGCTGGATAAAGGTGAGCAAAGCACCATGTCTGACCACCCTAGATAATAAGAGGCTCATGGGGTTAACAAAAGTTCTCAGAAAAACATATCTCTAGTGTTCCGGGGTCTACATCCCTGTTATGAGGGACTCTCACTCTCTCTTCCCTGTTAGCCCACATGAATTCTCTGGTGTTCTAGAAGGTCTGCTCTCTGAATGAAACATTTCCCACTTCCTTTCTCTGTAAAACTTTTCCCGCATTCTGAACATAAATATGGATGCTCACCCATGTGAATCCTCTGGTGTTTAAGAAGGTCACTGTTTTGAATGAAACTTTTCCCACAATATGAACATAAGAAAGGGCTCACCTGTGTGAGTTGTCTCTTCTGAAAAAAACATTTTCCACATTCTGAACATGAAAAAGGTTGTTCGCCCGTGTGAATTCTCTGGTGGATAAGAAGGTTTCTTTTCTCTTTGAAACATTTTCCACACTCTGGACATAAATAGGGACACTCTCCTGTGTGATTTCTGTGGTGATTAAGAAATGGCTTTTTCTCACTGAAACATTTCCCACACTCTGAACATGACAGGAAACACTCACGTGTGTGAATTCTCTGGTGCTTCAGAAGGTTTCCTCTCTGACTGAAACATTTCCCACACTCTGGGCTTGAATAAGGATGCTCACCTGTGTGAATTCTCTGGTGTCTAAGAAGTTTATATTTGTCGACAAAACAATTTCCACACTCCAAACATGAATAGGGATGCTCACCAGTGTGACTTCTTTGGTGTCTAAGAAGTTTATATTTGTCGATGAAACAATTTCCACACTCCGAACATGAATAGGGACGCTCGCCTGTGTGAATTTTCTGGTGTGTAGGAAGCCTAAAGCTTTTAGTGAAAAATTTCCCACACACCGAACATGAGAAGGAACGCTTTCCTTTGGGACTTTCTTCATGGCTTTGAGAAGATCCTTTGAAATTCGATGGATCTGTTGATTTATCTGTACTATGAGATGTCGGATGTTCGTCAAGAGTTACAGTATGGGACTCATCAGACGATTCTTCAGGATTAGAGGGATCTGTTGGTTCCTCTAAATGGTAAGATCTCCTACATATGTTTTCAGGAACAAGATTTACTCCTGGAGAATATTCTATGATTCTGGTACAGTCTGTAGATAAAAGAAGATGTCCCTCAGAGGTATTCCAGACATAATGTTCACCTGTTGGGAAACATTAGAAATAAATATTATTCTCCATGCCTTATTTTCAGGAGCCAATTATGTTGGTCTAGCACTTTTCATACAGAGTACTGGATCTCCTCCTCATTTGTTGGGAACATGACGTTATATTGAGAAATGGAGATGGACCTTTCATATGGTGTCCAGTATCTCCTCCTCATTTGTTGGGAACATGACGTTATATTGAGTAATGGAGATGGACCTTTCATATGGTGTCCAGTATCTCCTCATTTGTTGGGAACATGACGTTATATTGAGGAATGGAGATGGACCTTTCATATGGTGTCCAGTATCTCCTCCTCATTTGTTGGGAACATGACGTTCTATTGAGTAATGGAGATGGACCTTCCATGTCCAGCATCTTCTCCTCATTTGTTGGGAACATGACGTTATATTGAGGAATAGAGATGGTCCTTTCATATGGTGTCCAATATCTCCTCCTCATTTGTTGGGAACATGTCGTTCTATTGAGGAATGGAGATGGACCTTCCATGTCCAGTATCTCCTCCTCATTTGTTGGGAACATGACGTTATATTGAGGAATAGAGATGGACCTTTCATATGGTGTCCAGTATCTCCTCCTCATTTGTTGGGTACATGACGTTATATTGAGAAACGGAGATGGACCTTTCATATGGTGTCCAGTATCTCATTTGTTGGGAACATGATGTTATATTGAGGAATGGAGATGGACCTTCCATATGGGCTCCAGTATCTCCTCCTCATTTGTTGGGGACATGACATTATATTGAGGAATGGAGATGGACCTTTCATATGGTGTCCAGTATCTCCTCCTCATTTGTTGGGAACATGAAGTTATATTGAAGAATGGAGATGGACCTTTCATATGATGTCCAGTATCTCCTCCTCATTTGTTGGGAACATGACGTTATATTGAGAAACGGAGATGGAACTTTCATATGATGTCCAGTATCTCCACCTCATCTGTTTGGAAAAGGACATCATATTGAGGAATAGAGATGACCTCATTTTTTGGGAACATTAAATGTGAGGTTGGTATATTGATGACGATCTTGCTATTAACAGATAATGTTTCTAGTCCTTTGTGTGCGCTGAAGGATGTGAAGATCTCCCTTTTTTGAACAGGGACAGCATATACTTACTACTGTATAACATACTTGAAGGGAAATAGTTTCACCATATTGTATATAGAAAGGGTTATTTGCTCCAACAGCTGTAAAAATGAGCAATAGTCATCCACAGGAACTTGCTCTGACTGACTGGAATTGTTTCTAATATTTGTAGGAAGAATCATTGTAGAATGATTGTAGAACCTGGGCAGTTATCTGATTACTTTTTTGATTAAGAAAAAATTATTCTCTCCTATAGAAAACTGGGCCAAACCTTATGTGGCTTTTCTGTCCTCCTCTGGATCAACTGCTGTTTTGGATTATTTTTGGGGCAACCCGATGGACATATACAGTTGTGTTCAAAATAATAGCAATGAGTTGAAAAAAATGAATAAAGCTCAAAATCCTTCTAATAGCTTTTATTTCCATATACACAAATGCATTGGGAACACTACACATTCTATTCCAAATCAAAACATGAAGAAAAATAGATCAAATTTGTGTTTCTCCTCTAAAAAAAATTGAAGAAAAGTGAATATTAGACTGTTCAAAATAATAGCAGTATTTGTATTCTTCTTACAAACTCATTCACTATATAAACCGAAAAATGGTTGAAGATTTTGCTTTCCTTTGAATCACTTAATTAATATTTGGTTGTTTCTGAGAACTGCTGTACATCTGTGTTGCATGGAGTCAACCAACTTCTGGCACCTGTGAACAGGTATTCCAGCCCAGGATGATTGGACTACATTCCACAGTTCTTCTCTATTTCTTGGTTTTGCCTCAGAAATTGCATTTTGGATGTCACCCCACAAGTTTTTTTTTTGGATTAAGATCCGGGGATTGGGCTGGCCACTCCATAACGTCAATCTTGTTGGTCTGGAACCAAGATGTTGCACGTTTACCGGTGTGTTTGGTGTCGTTGTCTTGTTGGAACACCCATTTCAAGGGCATTTCCTCTTCAGCATAAGGCAGCATGACCTCTTCAAGTATTCTGATGTATTCAAACTGATCCATGATCCCTGGTATGCGATAAATAGGCCCAACACCGTAGTATGAGAAACATCCCCATATCATGATGCTTGCACCACCATGCTTCACTGTCTTCACAGTGTACTGTGGCTTGAATTCAGTGTTTGGGGGTCGTCTGACAAACTGTCTCCGGCCACTAGATCCAAAAAGAACAATCTTACTTTCATCAGTCCACAAAATGTTGCGTCATTTCTCTTTAGGCCAGTCAATGTGCTCTTTGGCAAATTGTAACCTCTTCAGCACGTCTTTTCTTCAACAGTGGGACTTTGCGGGGGCTTCTTGCAGATAGCTTGGCTTCACATAGGCGTCTTCTAATTGTAACAGTACTCACAGGTAACTTTACACCTTCTTTCATCTTCCTGGAGCTGATTGTTGGCTGAGTCCTTGCCATTTTGGCTATTCTTCTATCCATTCGAATGGTAGTTTTTCGCTTTTTTCCACGTCTTTCAGGTTTTGGTTGCCATTTTAAAGCATTTGCGATCATTTTATCTGAGCAGCCTATCATTTTCTGCACTTCTTTATATGTTTTCCCCTCTCAAATCAACTTTTTAATCAAGGTACGCTGTTCTTCTGAACAATGTCTGGAACGACCCATTTTCCTCAGAATTTCAGAGAGAAATGCACTGTAACCAGCATGTACAACATTTGCTGCCTTCCTTTCTTAAATAAGGGCAATAATTGCCACCTGTTTTTCAAAGAATGAATGACCTCACTAATAGAACTCCACACTGCTATTATTTTGAACATGCCCCTTTCAATGAGTGATTCAATTACACAGAATCAGCAGCATGCATGTCATAACTGTTGGGTCTGTTGGATTTCTATTACTCTACTACACCTGCTAGTAAATTATTTGCCATGTAGAAATATCATTTCTACCAAAAACAGTGATTGATCAGGTTAGTGATGTCTGACTGCTATTATTTTGAACATAACTGTATGTATATAGCTGCAAACACGGATAATGTGAACTGTTTCTGCATTTAGTGTTTATGACTTACTTGTGTCCATATGTAGAGAAGATTCCTCCGGTTTACTTTCCACAATCATCTCTCCTCCTCCATAGACTGCTGATCTCCATTCACCAACCTCTCTTCTTCTCCCTCTTTAACCTCAACTTTGATGTCTTTCTGTTCTTTATCCTGAACCCCAAAGATTATAAAATACATTTATAAAAAGGGACAAGAGATTACATAGAAGAAAGTCCTCTCACAGGTCAAAATATCTTTTTTTTTTTAGGTCTACATGCTCACCCCCGCCTACCTGATGGTGGTGAGGGATGGTGTGATCTTCCTGTGTGGAATCCCGGGAATCCAGAGGACAGGGACATCTCTCTGGTGGGTTCCCATGACTGGATCCATCTACCTGATGATGGTGAGGGATGGTGTGACCTTCCTGTGTGGAATCCTGGGGATACAGAGGACGGGGACATCTCTCTGGTGGGTTCCCATGACTGGATCCATCTGTAGGAAACACACACACTGACTGAATCCATTGTTTCTATGTGTTTATCAGATGATGGGGGATCTAGGTGGATCCTCCGTACTGCTCTCTCCTTAACAATAAAGTCTCCTCTTACCCGGTGATGTGAGGGGCGGCTGATTGTCCATCATGACGTCCTTGTAGAGGTCCTTGTGTCCTTCTAAATACTCCCACTCCTCCATGGAGAAATAGACAGTGACACCTTATAGGAACCTGACACACACAATGATATAGTCACCATCCAGACACATCCCTTGTCTGTTACTGGAGAATGTCCCAGAAAACATGCCCACCCGCAATGTCTCTTCTCATCCTCTTCTCCGCCCGGCATCTCAGTGCCAAGCAGCATGCTCACCCACAACGCCTCTTCTCTTACTGGAGCCCGGCGCCGGCATCTCAGGGCCTAGCGACGTGCTCACTCGCAACCTCGCTTATCTCCCTCTTCTCCTCCCAGCCCTGGCATCTCAGTGCCCAGCGGCATGCTCACCCATAACGCCTCTTCTCTCCACAGAGACCGGCACTGGCATCTCAGGGCCCAGCGACCCACGTCTTTTCTCTCCTTCTCCGCCCAGCACCTCAGGGCCCAGTGACGTGCTCACCCGCAACACCTCTTCTCTCCCTGACGCCGGCATCTCAGGGCTCAGTGACATGCTCACCCGCAACGTCTTTTCTCTCCTTCTCCGCCCAGCACCTCAGGGCCCAGTGATGCGCT